GGGAGGTGAAATAAATACCTGTGAATAAATGAAATAATAAAATAAATGAAAATAAAAATCTATAAAAATTAGAACCAATTACTTCCTTTCCCTTTTGTTTGGAACATAGGCCCAGCAGTACAGTTAAAAATAAATCAATTATCCTATTCTAACTACTAGCGAACCAACGACGACCAAACTCGTTTTCCCCAATTGACAAATAATAATCCTGAAACAACAAAAACCTCATTAATCACCGAAGGACGATAAAGTAAGTTTGAACTGTATAATTTCGTTGCATCGATAGATCCATCTGAAGTAATGCCGCTCGGCGTGGACGAAGAAGAGGAGCGTCAAAGATGGACTCGTCGCAGTAGCACGGTTCGTTGTAAGTCACGGATGACCAGGCAAAGGTCGTACGACGACGAAATGAAGAACGTAGCAGCGATGTCCGGAGGCAGTGGGCAGCACGCGCTTCCGGAGCCTGGCCTAGGACTTCCGGTGCAGCTGCCGAGGCGAGCATCAGCCTACGACGTGTATGCCGCGCCAGGAGTTGTCGGTGGACTAAACGCCATGACCATCGCGGCTGCCCAGCAGAGAGCATCGATCTCCGCGCAAGGTAGAGCACATTGGCCAACGTATTTATGGAATAAACGCTCGTCTCATGGCCTACAATCTAAATCGGCCACGGACTTTGCTTTCTTTTGCAAAAAATATGTTTTATATTAGTTGCTGAGCTATAATTATGTAGATACAATTTTTGTGGAGGAAAAATTGCCAAAATTGAATAGGGTTTATTTATGGTATTAATATAAAAAGATTGTTAGAATGCTTATTGCAAAATTGGACCTCTCGTATCATTTCTGAGCCATAATCATACAGGTAGAATTTTTGTGGAGGGAAAATTGCCTGGCAAAATTAATCGCGACTAAAGCTGCAATTAGGGTGGCGCGATTCTCAGTTACGGATTAGCGAATCTAAAATGAAATTTCTAACATTTTCGTAATTAGAGAATTTCGAGGGATATCAATTAGGTGGGAATTGTTAAACCATCGTTAAACTAGGTTATTATGCTGTTAAGGATAATCTGGAAAAGGAAGTAATTCGTCGAAATGGACTGCCTTAGCCGTGCAAATGAAATTGGGGAAAAAGCGCTACAATGAATGGAAAAATAAGCCGAATAGAAAGACTACTATACGGGCTTTGTACGGAACAAAGCTGTTAAGTAAAAAGAAGCTCTTTACGTACGACCCTCCCTTTGCAAAATCCTCATCTGCGAGCAGTGTAAATTGTGAAATGTTTATCCATTTCTGCATACATTTATGTGTGTAAACGACGAACCGATGCACAAAATACGAATAAATCGGTGTTTCTCTTTTTCCCCCCTCAAATTAAATTAAACAACTGTGCTTGAAATTTTACTTCTAATTTTTTATAATAACTTAAAATAGGATTTCAAGTGCAGAAAACGTATTCGAAGAAATTTTACATTTTTATCAATTTTCCAACTGTACTGTAAATTATTAAACATACTTTTGATACTATCGTGCTGCACCGAATACGTCACCCTAATTTTTCTCGATTTAATAACAACACTAGCTTCAAAAAATCACTCATCTCTTATTTGCAGCTGCAGATACAAAATGTCAAATGTTATTAATCGATTAATTCATCGTACCCAAATATTAACTGTCCGATAGTACTTGGCTTCGTTTTGAAAATTTGTTTTTCTTTCAAATTAACATCAACGATAAGATAACAAAAGCGGAAAAAGACAGACAATTTGAATACGGTAACGTTGATACGCCCACGATGTCAAATAACAGAAATTTTGATTTCATCAACTATGGGCATGGTTAAAGACACGAAGGGATCGCGTGTCGGTTTCGTAATTAAGTATATTAACGTAATTTTTCGCCGCGTGTTTCACCGCGCGGTCGCGGAATCATGTGAAATTTACGATACAGCGACTGCATTAATTAATTCCATTTTAATTACGGGGTGACGTACGTAAGTAGTTGATAAATTGCAGTTTTCCATTACGATATAATGCAACCGGTGGATCCCGATTGTTAACCGCGTTACGTCCACCACTTTAAATATTGTGTCTACTTTTGCAACTCGACCGATCAAATGCGATATCACGGGTGTTTGATAAATTTAACGGCTAATATATTTTTACGAGCTTCCCAGCGGAAACTTCTCTGTTATTTTTACGGACCGGGGAAACTGGTGGAATTAAATCGAGCGAAATCAAGCATGAAAATTAGATAATTCTTTTCTTGATATTCGTACGTGTCCGCTTAAATCCTAATTTCCTTTGATATTAACGCGATAAAGAAATGGTTTTGCGTGACAATGGATAATAAAATTGACGTGGTTAAATATGTTAGCCAAAGGAACTTTTGTTTCCAAGAAAAATTGACTTTTTCAATGTTAATTATGGAAATATAATTTTCAAATAATCATACAAACAGTAGAAAAATAATGTGAAAAGAAGAGATTCGAAATTTATTTGTTTTGCGTAATTTCTATTTACACAAATTCGTATATCACTGATTCCCTTCGTGTTACATTGCCTAAATTCTTCTCAAACCTAATATTTTCAAAATTGATAGGACTAATTAGATTGGACAAAGAAACTTTTGTGAAAAAAAAATTTACTCTTCTAAATAAAGCGAAGAGAAGGATTTGAAATCTTTGTATTTTTTGCATTTTCTGTTTATTACTCAGGTCGCTTAAATTGTTCCCAGATGTAGTATTTATCGCAGTAATTAAGTACGAAGTCATGTTACCCTTCGACCACGAGGTTAGTTGTAAAAGGGCGGTCCATTCGATTATCTTGCCGGTGCCTTTTGAGATCCTTATGTGGCCAGACGAAAGTCCTGCGGACATGTAATCGAGTTTAACTTCCTTCAGGTACTACGGCCCCGAGTTAGTCACATCTATGTCTGCAAGCCGGCCCAAGTCTAACTTTGTTTAATTTTGGTCGGATCTCTAACTGAAACTTTAATCTCTGATGGTCGAAAATACTTTGTAACGAGGTGAACGTTGTTCTAATTCATTTATGCGCTTGTTACGCGGTATTTCAGACTCTAATTTGCCTTCAGTCTCTCACGGAACCAGCCTAAAGAGATTTTCATTCTACACGCGTAATTCGATCATTCTATCGGAAATATTTCTCCCGTATTTTTATATTTAAGCCTGCTTCGTGGAAAGGTGTATCTTTCGTACCTTTGAATTTCACGATTCCATTAAGGGTGTAAAAAGTAAATAATGCCCGGAGAGACTAGATAATTGGATTGCTGTAACAGAATTCTGAATCCGATTCTTTCCCTCACGTGACTGTTCTCACCAATTAAGTTATCTAGGTCGTCGACAAATTCTTCTCTGTTTAAGCCTCGTATCTGAAATGGCTGTCGCCCACACTTGGGTTAGCCTGAAAAATGGCCGTTGTTGCCGACCACGTATAAATCATAAAATTCGGAACAATGCGAGGAGGCAAATATGAGTGCGACGAAAAAGCGGAAGAATAAATTCAGTTTTATGAATCACAAGTGTATCGCGTTAAATTTGGAGTTTGAATTTTTATTAATGGAACTATCCGAACTGGTGACAATTTTTAATTTCCTTGTCACAGGGTGGCACGAATTTTCATGCCAATTTTCACGAAATGTTATAGAAAATGTGGGGAGAAAACAGTCATTCAAGTGACACAATTTATCCAATTTCGAAAACTCCGTATATTCTCCAGGCTGCAAGGATTAAAAAAATGCGAAAAGAGAAATATGGATATTTTTGACCGCGAAAACCAGAAAGAGTGAAAAAGAAATATCGCCTCTTTTTATCCTAAAAACCAAAATGCCCTCTTAGCGACAAAAATATTAACGCACCGAACTTCACTTTCGCCTTTTAATTTTTTATTTACCATTTACTCTTCGACTTACAAAATCAAGTAAAAGTGCGAAAAACTTTTCTGTCGATTATTATATTTGTTCAAAATACTTGTCTACATGCACGTAATACGGAAAACTATCAGAAGTCTGAATATTTCGGCAGAATTACTCGCATCGGTGTCCTTTTATTTACCGTTTACTATGCAGATTCGCGGATTAAAAGGATGTATGCGCTCGCGTAAATGAAATTTCCCCTTTCCCAGGTGGCAGGAAACCAGAGGAAAGACCGTCCGGTCGTAGATCATCGTTTCGAGCAGTGAAGCCGGTGATGCCGTACGAAGTCGGAGCTGAAGATGAAAGTATGATGAACTTGGAAGCATCTGCAGTATCAGTGGTTCCACCAACGGTGGTTCCTCAGCCCGTTTTGATTCCTGACGAGGAACGACGCACTAGACGAAAAGGCTCTCAATTGTAAGTACTGCATTATCTACCTGATAACACTCCTCTGCGCAAGTTGAACGGGTTACCTAAGATATCGTTGAATTATCGTACCTGCCGGAGAGAAATACCGACTTTGGAGATCTTCACGCTGGATTATTATTGTATTATTTGGTGCATTAGAATTATGTACTTGTTGGGACTTGGTTTTGAGAAAAATTAGCGTGAGAGTGTACTGTTAGTATGAAAGTATACTTGAAATTGAAGAAATTCGCGAGATCTGTATAGTTTCGTCATTGTAAATATTAAATTATCCCATAATTTCTTTTCTTTTTAGTGTTTTTACATTATTGTTTTTTTTTAAGGTATTGCATGCATTCTATGTTAGTTTTATTTTTTTAACGAAGATGTTTCTTATGCTATTGATAATCAGACGTGTAAAATTGATATTAGACTTTCGGTTTGTAATAAATAAAAATTCTTTAAAAGTAGGACGGATTCTTTCTATTCCTAAAATATATCTTGTATCATGTTCAAATAAAATTAGAAATTTCTTGATATTCCATAATTTATTTTGTGTTTTTACTTCGTTAAAAACTTAACGTAGTTTAAATTTTATAGTAAATTATTTCTACGTTCAGTTTGCAGCTTTCTTTTTCAACGACAAATTCACACTCAGTTCTTCACGTTTATCGAACATTTTCCCCGATTTTCCTTGTTGCGTAAATTAAGACTTATTTTCCTGTATTCGTCCACGGTACAAAACGATCGTAAAATTCACTTTTAACGCAATTGCAGAGGATGTAAATTACACCGTTGAAATATTAACGCAGATGCATTTTCTCTGGTTGGAAAAAGGGAAAAACGCATCGAAACTTGCGCGGTTTGGTTTAATCAAAACTTACCCGTTAGTTTGCGAAATGAGTTACGAAACAAGTGAGAAACTAGAGATTAAATACTATCTCTAAATCTCTATTTAATCCTGTTACGTTCGAAATCTTTTGCAATAAAAGCTCGGGGTAAATTTAATCGATAATCTCGCGTTACATAAAAGCTCGAATATTTTGTTTCTCTGTTTTATGGGAATATTATAAACTTTATAAATTCGATATTCAGTTGCAGAAACTGAGAGTAATTCGGTATGATAAATAACACAAATCTAAGCTCGACGCAAGTAAACGTCAAGTTTGAAAAAGAATTACTTACTAAAAACAAAAATGCATTGCTGTTATTGACAGAAAAAAATTTTGTACAAAAATTGAAATTGTGGAAAATTAATTTGTGCAAGAATAATTTGTTTTCGCAGTGTAAGATAATTAATGTCTTCCATTCTTTGTAAAGCAGAATCCAAAGTCTTATGAATTTTCTTTGAGGAAATTAGTTTACTCTTGAAATAATTGATTTATTGTGTGTTACGATAATATTGCCATATTTTGGCAAAAATAAGCTCAATATGTGTTCGAATTAAATAGTAATATTCGCTTAATATTCAAAAATAATATTAACATTACCACCGAACACAACAAAATGTGCCTAGACGATACACTAAAAACAGCCAAAAACGAAATAAAACAGCAATAGGAACGAACAGCATCACATCGCATCAAAGACATAAATGGAAAATTCTTCAACAATTGCAAAACAATCACCGAACTACCCAGAAGAGACCAAGTAGCAACGAGCCGAATGCGAATAGGTCGTACAAAGATCTCCCACGCCTCCTAACCAAAGATCCAGCCCCAAGATGTGAGGAATGTAATGTACAAATCTCCGTTGACCGTCTACTCTTACAGTGCTCAAAGTATATGTAGCATATCACGACAAAGGTACTCGCTGAAGCCACACATCAAGGACAACTTGGAAGATAAGAAAAGTCGCGACCTACTGCAATTCATAAAAGAAACCAAACTGTTACAAAAAATACTGTAGTTACACGTAAAACGCATTTACTAAAACGTCGCTAATAACCTACATAGCAGTTGATGCGACGTTGAACCATTATTTAAAAAAAAAAAAGAACATTAATACTATCGATACATTTTTAAATTTTAATTAACGCGAAAAAGAAAGTTACTTTTTTTCCTTCTTTATTTCACCAGGCTATTTACCTTCTATTTTAAGGATATTCGTCACGTTTTCACAATAAAACCGGCAATAAAATGTTTCCAGTTTAGTTATTCCGCTGTTGCGGCAAATGCGTATCAACGGATATTGCATGAAAAAAACAGGAATATATCGTTACTTCGGTCCTTCTTTCTATTTATACATGATAAAACAGAAAGTTCCGTGTCGACCGGCCGATGTGTTCAACCTCACCTCCTTTTCTACGTCCCGAGGGATTACCTTTCTGCAAACGAAATATTTTCTCTTTGAAGAAACAAGATAAGAGACCCACTTTCAAAGCATACCATCTCAGAGGGAACCGAATTTTATATCGAATCGAATAACATTTTACGAGCGTGCTGTGAATTTATTAATTTCCCCACGAATACCGCGTTTGTCATGCTCTCTGTTCCGTTCTTTCCGCGAATTATTCGTTCGCGATAACAATGGAATTTTCTGCGACGGTTTGTCGAATTTGTAAATTCTTCGTAACAAGAAGTAAGAACAATTCTCTTCGTTTTTCTATCGATTCTTCATTCGTTCGCGTTCCAACTTACTTTCCAATATTAAACTTGCACTTTTGCAAGTTTTTCAAGCTTAAAAGTATTTTTATGTTTTTCTCTACTTATTTCGTACGTTAAGTGGGTAAGTCAGGAATCTACGTAATGGAACTTCTTCACGCTGTGATTTGTAATTTTGTAATTGTGATTGATCTACTTGGTGTCTGCGAGCTGGCCAATCCAAGGAAGTATGAATCAACTCGAAAATTTTAAGACGATTGGACCTTTTACGGCTAGAATTTATATTTCAGAAGCTGGCCTCGTGCTCTCGTATAAAATGATCGTATCGTGGCCTAAAGGTACATACCGAGTGACGCAGGTCGACCCGAAGGTACATTGTACGTTCGAAACGTTTGCACAAGAACTGAGCAGAGTTTAGCGTCCATAAATTATAAAATGAAGAATGATCAAATTTCACATGGTGCTTTTCTTACGTTCCGAATAAAATTCCATTTTTTTTAAATACACTCTCGTTATACATCGTCGATAATGCGATTTGGCAATGCAAAGCGTCCTAGGAACTCCCTAATTAATCGCAGACTTGAACTTTCCTGTATAAGAAGATTAATTTTTTTATTTAGACATTGCGAATTAACTGGTCCAGTACTATAATGATTTAGAAATCTTCAGTATCAAATTGATGCTCAGTAGTTTCAAAATCCTCTGTTTTTTGTCACTTGCTATTTATGAAAGAAAAATTTTGAAATTTCAAAAAAATTTCATGCCTTGAATTTCGAACCTATTTTACCATTAACTTCATTTATATTTGGCAATGTCCTTCAAGAATTATAATTAATTGCAGATCCTTAAAGAATATTTCATATAATGGTAAAATAATTTATAAAAAAATGTGAAGAATTAAGTTTCTATTGTATCACATACAGCAGTAATATTATGCTGCAAAAAAGTGTGGACGATTAAGTTTTCATTACACTTCACCGTAATTACATTTCACCTCTTCTAAAATTCCAGACCCTTGAAGAATGTTTCAGGTAATGATAAAATAATTTATAAAAAAAATGTGAAGAATTAAGTTCCTATTGTATCACATACAGCAGTAATATTATTTTGTGAAGAAACGTGGACGATTAAGTTTTCATTACACTTCACCGTAATTACATTTCACCTCGGAGATACGCTGAACAGTGAGCTTACATCGCGTCAGAAGGCACTGTACGAGCCTTAAACCGCTAACTGTCTCGCCAAGGGCAAAAAGAAACAGCGCCAGACATCGTAGACGATTAAGGTATTGAAAAACAGTCTAATTTCTGAAAATCGCGTCTTGAGCTGGAAATTACCAGCATTTCCGCTACATGGTTGCTCACCCCTTTCAACACCGTTTCGCTCTTCTCTTTCCTCGTAAGAGACGCGTTCCCTCGCGGAACCAGCAAAAACTCGAGTAGATTGCAAACACGACGTTCCCGCCACTAGAGAAATAATTAATGCCACACCTATGCACGCAATCTCCCACAAACACGTCCTCCTTCGGCTCTAGCCTCGTTTCCTCTTCGCAGCAGTTGTCGCTGTTCCGCACATCTATCCCGAATTTCCGCGAATTCTCCAACAGGGTTGGTTTCTGCCAATCAGATACTGTTAACCCCCAAGACGAAGCCATTCCCCGATTTTCACTGGAAAGCTTTCCTTAATTTTCGAGAAAATGACATTCCGAGGTGGATTAATTAACGTCACCGATGCTTTGGTATCTCAGGCATGGAATATACCCTCTACTCTGTGTTGTAATACGAACGTGTATGAACGAACAATGCTGTGTGATATCTGGTATATCGTTTCGAGAGATGTAATTATGTTTGGTAAAGGGTGATCTGCAATTTTTTTTAAGTATTTTCTCTCACTTTTCGTATTTTGTGTATTTTCTGTTATGGCAAAAATTTAAGCAATGAGAAACTTATCTTTATAGGTCTAAGAAATAAAAATGAAATTGAGGGTTTCTAGCGTATCAAGGAGAGAAGAATGTGAGCTTTAAGGGTTTGTTGTACCTTAAGGTGTGACATTTTTCGTATCCTATAGTTGATCCCAAATGGTATTTTAAAATTATATTACGAGAAAAATGTAAGTTACGGCATTGTAAGCAATGGGAAATTTATCTCTATAGGCCTGGGAAATAAAGAAAAAATGAAATTGATGGTTTTTAGCGTATCAAGTTGAGAAAAGTGTGAGCCTTAAGGAGTTAATTAAGGTGTGACACTTTTTGTATCCTATAATTGATTCAAATTCGCTTAACTAATTAATCTCTCATCTTTAAAATCAAACTCAATTATAAAAATTCAGAGATAATTAATTTGAATTGTAAAACTTGGTTCGACATAATTTGGTGTTTAAAAAACAGTCGTATAATCGCGAGTATGGTAGAAAATTCGTTTAAATAGCATTCGCGACAGTTGGATTATATACCTGTACAACCATTAGCAGTTTTTCTGTTGCCTGCAATTCTTTCGCAAGCGACAGAGAGTTTTATTTCAGTGTAAAGAATACAAGGTAACAAAGAAAGATGAAACGTCAGAGACCCATTCGATAGCACTTTATCTCCCTCTCTCCCTCTTTTTTTTTTTCGTTGTATCTCTAATCGTTTCGACATTGTAGCTTTGCACTGTTTCATGAAACATTCTGCACATAATACTTCAATCAGAGCTTCAACTGTCTCGCTTTTTATCGGCGTATCATGTACCTTTGATTTTTTTCAAATGGACGACTCAGTGTTCTATTTTATGATCCACAAGGTTATCGAATATCAAATGGAAAAAGCTGTGTTACATATCGTTTCAACAGCAACAGCCACTGAAATATTTCTTACCCTTCCATCGGTATTTCGATGCCGTTTCTCCCTTTCCAAATATCTTCGTTACATTTCCCTACGAATATGTACCTCTATATTTAAAAACCCTATTTCGTACTTTGTACAGTGTAAATAGCATAAATGAACTGTACCGGAAAGATACTGATTATGTTAGGTCGTAATAAATTATTGGCCTTAAGTTATTCTAGATTTCATTAAGCAAATGCATATTTTTTCTTTTCTTTTCAAAAAAAACCCACTTGTTTTCTTTTCTGTGACTTGAACGCTATATAATAAAACAGAATCGATTACCACAGGAATCTTTTTGATTGGGACGAGAAATGATCTATTCCTAAAAACTTGAAACACCGTGAAAATACGTAAATTTATGATAATAAAAGGAACACGTGAGAAATGGCAAATAATAGCGATTCAGAAACTTCTCGGATTAAAGAAGAACTATCAGAAAAACATCCTATTTTTAATAGAAATCTGAAATTAGAAATCTAGAAAAACCTAAACTTTTCTCTAAATATAAGAAGATAAGAAAAACATCAGAAAGGCTACCAAAGATAGCGATTGATAACAACCAACAAGCAAAGTAACTAAGAACAGCATTTTTCGTAACACATCCAGCCAACGACTATTAACCCACGAGATTGCAAAACTCCGAAATTACGACTTAATAACCCGAACAATATCTCTCCCCACAAATTCCCAATTCATAGTTCCCCAAAACAGGAGCGGAAAGGCATGTACATACGTATATTGTCTCGACTCCGACAATTTTCCACGTATCTTGTGGAAATGTACAGCAGTCGAGAAAATTAAAACCAGGATGCCTCGAACGTAGAGCCCCGAGGCGACGACTTAACACAGCGTTAAGGGCCATTAAGGAGATCTCGTAAAAAGCCAAACAAGAAGTTTCGGCCAGTCGTAAGTGAACCACAGAGGTAAATTGTTAACCGATGGCTCCTTAAGGAGAAACAGCTTTGAATTCCAGAGGCTGGATATCAGGATGCAACACCGTTCGGAGAGTTTCTCCAAGCGATTAAAACTTTTCGTTCAAGTTATTCGCTGAAATGTTTCTTCCCGTTGAATCCTCGACTGTTGAAAAAGTTCCCCGCGATTATGCTGCAAGATTTACAATTGCCATTCTTTCGGTTAGTAGCTGCGGTTCTCTATCTTCACGTGGACGTTATTCAAATCGCTCTTTATCGATTGGGCGAAAGTTGGAACAGGTCAGGCAGAAACCACGAGAAACGCTGTGTTTCACTTAATTCAGCACTTTTCGAGCATGAACCTCCTTAA